TGGATGGGTGGATGGATGTATGGATAAATGGATGGGTGGATGGATGGATGGATGGATGGATAAATGGATGGGTGGATGGATGGATAAATACATGGATGGATGGATGGATAAATGGATGGATGGATGGATAAATGGATGGATAGATGGGTGAGTGGGTGGGTGGGTGGATGGAGGCTTCCAGGTGGATATGAAGGTCTGTCTCGCTTCCATCTCCTGAAGTCCATTTCCATGATAGAGTGATAGAGAAAATGCAGGAGGAAGAAAGTCAGGCTTCTGCTTCCTATCACCAACGTCTTCATTGCCTGAACTCCTCTTACAGTCCACATTGGAGAGTTTGGCACTTCTATAGGAAAGAAAAAAATGTTTTTCCTGACTCATCTCTACTGAACAGAAAATGCCAGCTCCCAGACACCTCCAAATGAGTCATCAGCTCCTTGTCACCCAGACCCATGGTGTGACCCTTTCTCCAAGCACAGGGACTATAACTCTAGCCTCCTCCTCACCCTGGGCCTGATTCTCTAACAGTTTCTCTTCTTCACCAGGCATCTCCCAGGAGTATCCTAAGATTCTGAATGGCACCAATGGGACCAGTGGGTTTCTACCTGGTGGCTACACCTGCCTGCCCCACTCCCAGCCCTGGCAGGCAGCCCTGCTGGTGAGAAGGCGGCTCCTCTGTGGGGGAGTCCTGGTCCACCCGAAGTGGGTCCTCACTGCTGCACACTGCATGAAAGCGTACGTGGGGTCTTGGAGTGTGGGGTAGGGATGAGTGGGCACTGGGTGGGTGAAGTTGGCCCAAAGGAGGAGACTGAGCTAGGGCTGGGGTTGGGCGTCGGGTTAAGAATGAGGTTTGGGGTAGGCAAAGGGGAAATATTGGAATAGAGTCAAAGAAGGTCCAATGGGACTGGAGCTGAGGGTGGGAAGAGAGATAGTTGGAGAAAAGGCCCACGGGATGAGACGGAGGTTGGATTAGGATGAGGAAGAGGCCGGGCCCAGGAGGGCTGGAGAGAGGCTGACTTCCCCTAACCCTCCTTCCCGCCCCGCAGCGGGTACACAGTTCACCTAGGCAAGCACGTCCTGGGGCGCGTGGAGACCCGCGAGCAGGTGAGGGAGGTGGCCCGCTCTGTCCCCCACCCCGAATACCAGGTCAGCCCCACCCACCTGAACCACGACAACGACATCATGCTTCTGGAGCTGGCGAGCCCGGTCCAGCTGACAGGCCACATCCGCACCCTGCCCCTTTCCCGCAGTGACTGCCTGCCCCCCGGGACCTGCTGTCGGGTGTCGGGCTGGGGCACCACCACCAGCCCCCAGGGTAGGTGACGAGCTCCCCACAGCGCCCGAGGTCTCGGGGTGGGGAGGAGTGCGTGGAGGAGGATCCCCTGGTAGACAAAGATGCAAGCCTATGTGAAGGGACGGGTGTCCCATACACGCCTAGATACACATCTATGAATACCTAAATATAACTATATCATCTAATGTCTGTTGATAGTGAGACATATAAATATATGATTATGAGTTATATAAATTATTTTATAAATCATATATTTAAAATATTATAAATCATAAGTCACATATTGAAATCGATTATATAGATTATATAAGAATATTATGTCATCTATAGTGTGTGTATAATAGTAAACAGCATTCAAGTATATAGTTTATAGTACACTTAAACTATAAATACTACAAAACAATTTAATACACTAATGAACGTGTGTTTACTAAGGTGATGAAATGTAAGTCTATCCTTCGTGTGAGCTCTGTGTGCCTTGGACACCTGCACACCAACAAGGGCACTTTGCATCTCCATAGCAACCACTCCCTTCCCCAACCTCTTTCCCCATCCTCTGCCCCAAGCCACCTCCCCAGGACACTTCCTCTTGCTCTGCTGTCTCCAGTTCTCCACCTCTCGCCATCCCGCCTTCTTCCTGTTCCTCCTCACTCCCCCTCCAGTTTTCGCCCTCTGCCTCTGGCTCCCTTCACTCCTCATTCTCCTTCTCGTCCCCGCCCCGGCCTGGCCCTCCCCTCCCCCTCCCCACTTTGCTCCTGCCTTTCCCTCCGCCTCTCCCTATTCCTTTCTTTTCCATCACTTTGCCCACTTACATGACTCGTCTCTTCCCCTCTCCTCCTTGTCACTGCTTTATCTCTTCATTTCCACCCTATAACCCACCCAGGACAGACATGCTCAGACCTCTCTCTCCTCCCCAGTGAGTTACCCCAAAACCCTGCAGTGTGCGAACATCCCACTACGCTCAGACGAGGAGTGCCGTCGGGTCTACCCGGGGAAGATCACTGCTAACATGCTGTGTGCTGGCTCCAAAGAGGGGGGAAAAGACTCCTGCGAGGTGAGACTGGAAGTTATGGGCTTTCACAGCTGGGACAGGAAGCCTGAGTGGGAGGGGGGATTTGCTCCAGGCTTTGGGGAAACCAATCTATAAGTGGGGGGGGGGGGTTCTAGCATAAGGTATGCAGACAAAAAAGGGAGTTCCCAGGGATGGCAAATATAATTCATCTTGAGCTTCAGCTTTGACTGAGTGGCTGCCCATATCTCTGTGTTGAGAGGCCTGAAGGTTGGGATTCTTTTAGTTGCAAGTGATGGAAACCCACTTCCAACTGTCATAAGTAAAACACAGCAACAAACACCCTGGCAGACGTGATGTTAATGAAAATCCAGACGTGATGGCTTCAGGTACAGAGGGATCCAGGTGTACAGGTCATGTTTTAGGAACTCTGTCTCTTTCTAACTCTCAGTTTTTCTCCTCTGTTTGGGCTCTATTCTCAACCAGGCTCTTCAGCAGCAGGTCAGGGCTTAACCGCTACCCTGTAAGCAATGCTACTGGAAAGAGAGAACATCTCTTTCCTAATAGTTGACAAAAACGTCTTGGGCATGATTCTCACTAGGCTGATCTGAGTCATGCATATTGAACCATCACTCTGGCCTGAGCTGTGGGAATCTGAGACCCAAGATGAACCACGGGACTGTGGGAACCAGAGTAGCCAGACCAACTGCATGGATTGAGAGGGCCGAGAAGTAGTTCCCCAAACGGAAAACTCAGGAGGCCATTTACTAAAGTAAAGGAAATGGCTTCTGAGTTTTGGTTTAGTGAGAAAGAGCATGATCATGAGTGAAGGATCTGTGCCGTGCTCGATTAGCGATGTCTGCTCAGGCCAGGGAGAAGCGAAGAGCATGTGTATTACACACACAGCCTGTGTGCAGTGTGTTGACTCAATAGCTAGATGGCACAAAGGAGCTGTCAAATCAGAACAGGCCCAGCTGGTGGGGAGCTGGGGGTGTAAGCTGGGATTTGGTGCCCGGAAACCAAGATGGGTATAAATTGTCACCACTTCAATGAGACTAAGGAATGGAGAACAATAGAGAGACCTGGATGTCAGCCCCGATCCCAACGTCTCTCTGGATCTAGCTTCGCTGTTCTGTTCCTCTTTTCCTGTTTCTCTCTGTGGTTCCTCTTATCTGTTTCTCAGTGTCTCTGCTGCTCTTTCACACTACTTCTGTGTCTGGCTCAACCTTTCCGACTCTCCATCTCTCTGACTGTTCCTGTCTGCATGTGTCTCTCTCCATCCTTCACTCTCTCCCCCATCTCTGCCTTTATCCAGCCCCAGCAAAGACCCCATCTCTCTCTCTCCCCCTCAGGGTGACTCCGGGGGCCCCCTGGTATGCAATGGCACACTCCATGGCATCATCTCCTGGGGAGACTTCCCATGTGGACAGCCCAACCGACCTGGCGTCTACACTCGAGTCTCCAAATATGTCTCGTGGATCCATGAAACAATCAAAAAACACAAAACCCAGGAGCAGAAATGGACAAAGGGCGCACAATAAAAGCTGGGTTGATTTACCTACCTTCCTGCTCCCGCCACGTCCCCCTCACTTTGCTGAGCCCTTCTCTGCCCTCCCCTGAGTGTCCTACTGAGACCCTGATCCGTGATCGCAGCATGTTCAGTCTTAGCAATCTTCCATGTTCCAAAAGCACTCAACCATCCTCCTGTCGTCTCCCAGGTGTTGCAACCTAAAAGGCCCCAGTTACCTGAGTGTCCCAACCCAGACAATGGCCTAGGTCCCCCAGCCACCCACCGTGGCCATCACAAACCCAGATGGACATCTGCATTTCCTGACTTTGCCAACAACCTCAAATCCTCCCATCGGCTATGGCAAGCATCTTCTCTCTTTTGGTTTTCATCTTTTGGTGACACTGGGGATTTGGATCCAGGGCCTTTGTGCTTGCTAAGCAAATGCTCTGCCACTGAGCTAAACCTCAGAAATATTCCAGTCTGAATAGACCTTCCTTGATGACATCTGAAAACACTCCATGTATTTATTCACTGCCAATATTCTAGGTCTCGCACGATTCCCATGATAATTCATCGTGAAAATCTCTTGTGCCCAGAATCCTCTCCCCACCAACATCCTGCGCACCTTTGAGTGATTTATCACGGCTAACTTTGGGTCTTCAGAATGGTTCAGTGGCACAGCACCTGCCTCATAAGTGCAAGGTCCTGAGTTCAATCCCTGGTACAGGAAAAAATAATGGTTCATTCTCCCACTGTACTGAGTCCGATAGACATCTCGATCCCACCTACCTCCCACATTCCCTCTCTCCAAGTCCCATTCCCACTAACCATTGATGTCACTCTAGTCTTGCAGTAACAGGGTTCAGTATCCCAAGCCCCTGTATTGAACCAGTATTCTGTCCTATATCTCTCAGTCTTGTATCTCTCCCATGAACATCCTTGTCCACTGTTTCTTGCTATTATCTCTTTGCCCATCACCCCAAACATAGTAGCTAAGTACTTAGCTACTGGAGTCCCTGCTGGATGCAAATCCTTGCTTTGGAGAAGTCATCAGACTCAGAGCCTCTTTCCTTTCTCATCTGTAAAATGGGCCCACAATTTTCCTCATAGCTTTATTACAAGGATAAACATAAAGCACTCACTATCATTATTATTTACCTGGCTCTCTGTAAAATACTACATGCAGATGTGGATAACAAACCCTCCGATTTGCCGACTGTTCAAGGAAGTTTCACGCCTTTATTCTCAGCCAACATTTGTTCAAGCTGGCCGTGCGTGGCACCTTCTTGGGTATTTATTTATTCAACAAATATTGCTAACTAGCATTAGCCAGGCACTGTAGTAGATGCAGGTAATGTGCAGTGAATTAAACAGAAAAAATGTCTGTCCTCGTAGAACTGATGTTCGTTTTGGAGAGAAACCATGAAAACAAAGAATAAAGAGATAGGTTGTCAGGCGGTGCCATCAGCTGTGACGGGGCCACTCCTCTGGTGCTGTCCCTGGCAGAGTCACGTTTCTGCCCTTCCCTCCTTAATCCTCTTGCAAAGCTGAGGTCCCCTCCCTTTTGTCCAACATTATAAACCCTAAAGAGAGCCCCACCTCCGCGATGAAGGTGTTAACTGCTAGATCTTTCTCAGATTGACAGGAGCCAGAGCATCTGATGGCCTTCCTGACACCGCTCCAGTCTTCGGCTTAGTGAACATGTCTGGGAACTCAGGAGGTTGAGGTCGCTTGCTGCGTCCCTGAAAAGAAAAAGGGAGACGTGTGCCACAGAGGACAGAGACCTCACCGGGCACCTGGCCTTCTGGCCCTGCGCCTCTTTCCCTCCCTACAGAAGCCCTTTGTGCCCCTGACCAACCCGCCCCTAGGCAGGGCTTTGAAAAATGGCTTCTCCATCTTCTTCAAGGCCGGCTTCGAATGAAGCTAATTTCATTCCATCAGCTCTTGTCTCCAGGGTATCAAGCAGTGAGCAGCCCGGACTTAACAAAGTCATAAAAGGAAAGGGGGAGGATGAGGGGTGGGAGCAGGAATGAAGGAGAAGGGACATTAGGTTGGGGAGGGGACTGGCAGTGTTATTTTAAACCAACCAGACACTCACAGAAGATGACTAAAGATAGTATTTAAAGAAAGGAGCCAGCTGCATGTTAGCAGATCATCATCCCAAGCAGCTAGTATAACAAGCGCAAAGGGCCTGGGGCAGGAACCTGTTTGGTGTGTTTGAGGATCAATGAAGACGCTTGTGTAGCTGCAGCTGTGTGAGCCAGCCAAGCCGGGAAGAGAGGGTGGGAGCTGATAGGAGAGGGCGTGGAGCCAGCTGCGATCTGATCTGACCAACAGGAAGGATGGACCTGCCATTTACTAGAATGGGAAAAAACAGGTTTGGGGGAAAGAGAGCCGTAGTTTTTAAATTGAAAATAAACTCGATCCTTGGGGAAATTCCAGAAAATAAAACCACAAATTAACCGCAGAGCATGTCGGTTTCTCTGTGGTGTGACAGTAGTGAGCATGCTCATTCCCCTGGAGGACATAAACGAGGTTTTGTGTTAAAGATCCAGGGGGAGGAGGTTTTGCAGGGAATGGACACATTGTAGGAATGAGGTCCCGGCTGCTGGCTGCTCAGAGGCCAATAATTGGGAGTAGATTGGGAAGAGTCAGGTTCTCTCAAGGGCTGGCGCCGAGAAGATGCAGGGCGTCCATCTCCAGGGGTGCCTCCTGGGGCACTGGGGCTCAGGGCTTTTAGGGAGGTACAGGGAGCTAGTGGGCAGAGAGGTCCCATGCTGGGTGGGTCCTCCTCGTACAGGGTGTGTATCTCCTTTCTCCCAGGGTTACTTCCTCTATTTTCTTAGAACAAATATACCACTTTTCTGCAAATTGGATCTCACAGCAATTCACATGCCCCGTATTAGTTGATGCACACAACTAAAGGCTGAGGAGAGATGTTATAGAGGTCATTCACCCACGTTCTGGGTTCTGGAAATCCAAAGAAAGATTGTTTACCAGTTAACACCGTAGGTGAAGCATCTTTTCAGAATGTAGAACGCTGGGAAAAGGAGAGGGTGCTGTAAGACAGTGGACCCTTGACTTACAAACTCGATCGGTTCCCAAGGGAGGGTTGGTTGTAAGTCAATGCCGCTGAGATCTGGATATTTACCTGGGTACTTGCTATAGATAGCAAGAGGCAGATGAGTCTTCCATTAACCTAGTTAACCCAAGTTGTTCATATGTCAGGCCAGTCTTAACTTGAGGGTCCACTGTAATTGGAAAAGGGTCAGGAAAGCAAAATAACCCTGGGGAAGGGCAAAGGGAGGGGGAAGTGAAAGTAACTCCAGCAAGGACTTCCCCCAAAAGAGCAGCCCTGGTAGGGTCAGCGGGGACTTCTGAGGGGAAAGACCTGGAGGCTGGAAGGGATCAGGATGGTAAGACGTGGGGTAGGTGCCTCTGCAGCGGAGACAAGGGGCAAGTCCCAGAGGTGAGCCTGTTGTGCGATCTGAGGGAACACAGAGCAAGGATGGGGTGCCGGGTAGGGAGTGTGGGGTGTTGAAATAGGAGGCTAGGCCACGGCCGCGTGGCTGGGGCAGTTGGGCAGGACCTGCCAATTGAGAAGACTCGGTAACCATGGGCACAGAGCAGCACGAGGGATGGGCTGAGCCCTGTACGCGGTACCAACCTTCTGATACGAGAACACCTGGAACCTGGCACCTGATAGCCATCTTGTGACACGAGAAGAAGCCGAGCCTGGTGCCTGATGCCAATCTTCTAGCTTGAGAGCAAGTGGGACCGCCTGGATCAACTGTCAGGGGACACAAAAGGGCCGCAGCCAGTGACTGCAGCGCCCGCCCGTTCTGCTTGCAGGACGTAGCTTCTCTCTTCCCTTCACAGCTCTCTTCTCCTTGAGCACTTCTTTTGTGCTTCTTCCCTTTCCTTCCTCTTCTTTCTGCTTCCAGATAAACCGTAACGTTTTGCCTTCGCCAGTTGTCCCAACCAGGGCATTGAAGGGGAGGGTAAGAACCCAGAAACACTGCTGGCCCCTACTCCGCCCGTAACAATGTTACCATGAACTAGTCGGTCCATGGTTCCTAACTCGCTCCGATAAACCCGCTCTCCCCTGTATGAGCAGAGCCACAAGGATGTATGGCCTTTGTCCTTGGCCCCTGAAGCGGTCCCTGAAGAGCCTCCCAGCATAAAGGTAAAGGTCAGTCTGTTTTCTCTACAAGCCCTTTCCAGTGCCCCTGAATGCATGTTATTCTTTCTTCATATATATTTAGCAGTACGGGGGACTGAATGCAGGGCTTTTCCACTGGGCTACATCCTCAGCTCTTTTCTTTCTTTCTTTCTTTTTTGAGGCAGGGTCTTGCTGTGTAGCTCAAGCTATCCTTGAGCTCACTACGTAGCCTAGGCTGGCCTTGAACTCACAGCAATCCTCCTGCCTCAGCCTCCCAAGTGCTGGTGGTGAAGCCCAACCAACCTCCATTGCTGCTTGACAAAGTTCCAGCCGGGGGAAAGAAAGGGTGGAACACATCGTACCCTCGTGTTTTATTTTTTCTTGCCATAATTGTTACTCTGATCACAGGAGTCATTGTGTTTGTGACTAACAACAAACTCTCCATGAGGCTAATTGGCAATGATATACTGAAATCTGATCTGGCTCACAAGTCCCAAATTCCTGTTTCTCTTAGTTCTATTGCCACATCCACTCCTAAAGAAACCTCTCCTAAAACCCCCTCTGTTTCCCCCACTACTATGACTCCCCCTCTTATTGCTGACATTCTTTTTACTAAAGGGGTCTTATGAAGAGATGAAAGGACAGACTTTAGATGTAAGAAATAGTGGGAAATGGGAAATAGAAAGAACGTTAAGACAGGTAAATGCATTAAGGAGACTAGTTACTCAATATTTCTCAAAGTGTTGTAAATATCTCCTGCTCATAGACTATGAACCCAAATGACATTTAGTTAAGATGAATAGAGGTATAGAAAAATAGAGAGCTAATAGCAAACTATATTAACCATTGTGCAGTTTCTCAAGGGCCAGCTGGCGACCACAAGTTTGACACCTAGTTGATTAAATCTTGCTTGTACTCCCACTGATATAAAGATTTTGATTAAGTTACTTTCTGTTCTGCTTAGGTGTGGGTAAATAAAGGGACAATTGTAATTTTTAAAT